CCGTACACACTTATAGAGTTTATGTTATTGAGATTCTGGGACATGTTTTATTATGACACAGTGGATACATTATGTTTGTGATTATCGTGTGATTGAAAGTATGATTTGAAAATGAAAAATTGTTTTGGAAATTTACGTTGTTACAGCTTTTATGACAAAAACCCCAGAAAAAAAGAACTTGAGTCGACTCTATTGTACTTGGTGGCAGGGACGGACGCAAGAATACATGGTAGGTGTTGCCGGGATGAATAGGTGTTGCCGATACATAAAAAATAGGTAGAAAAAACTGAAAAATCGAAAAAAATTTCATTGCGGCCAGAAAAGTTAGGGGTTGCCGGTGCCACACACGGAACCCCTTAGAACTGTCCTTGCTTGGTGGTGTGGGTCATTTGAAAGCCCTAATGCTTTCTGTTCAACAATAAAAAATGTTATTTTCAAGGCGGCCAATGTTATTCAACTATTATCTTTTAATTGGTTTAAGAATAAAACGATGTTTCACAATTCACAGTAGTTGTTGGTTGGATTGTTCTATTTTTTTTTCTTGTATATTGTAATTTGTGCTAGCCTCTTACTAGTTTTTAATGCATCTGCTGTTCAAAAAAAAAAAAAAAATACAATTTACTTACTTATTTATTTATTTTTAAATATAGATTATTAGTATATTATTTTACAGGACAAATGTTAGAAAATATAACATGTTATATTTTAGAAATGAACTATATTAATTTTGGTATATTAACTTTAGGTTTATTAAAATCCTCTAATAATTTCAATACATGTGAAAAAACCCGTATTTGGATACAAAAAATCCATATTAAATGTTTTTAGTGTCGGGAAAAGCACTACATATTATAACATTTTATCGAAGAAAAAGACCTATTAAAACATTTTTAGACACTTATTTAGGGGTTTAAAAAGAAGAAAAATCAAATAATATAATTTGGATCGTGTAAGCTTTAAGCCTGTTATGGTTTCCTTTGAAGGAAAACCAGTAGAGAAGAAAGCATGTTGATATTACATAAAATTTGGAATAAGAAGTTCCATTCGATGTTAGCCTCCCTACTGCCTACTGTAACAGTGGAGTGACCGACTTTGGTGATAAAAAACCATCATCAACCACCGTTTTATTCAATACATTGCAAAGAATCGGCTTCAATTTCACACCCCAATAACCCTTGCTCCACCGTGGCACCACCTTCGTGGATCCCACTGCCGCCCGCATTTGCTCAATCAACGCCTCAGTGTTCACTTCTTCCGACAATATCTCCTCCAATTGTTTCGTATTAATCACTAATTTCACCTTCCATACACCCTTTCGAGGCGGAGGCAACACTTCAAATCCCGACCCATCACTCAGCTTCTTTGTCACAAGTTGCAACGCCACCGCACTCGTCGACATTCTTACCGGCTCCGATTCATTCGCCACCTTTTCTTCATTCCTTCTGTCTCTTTCTTCTGGAGACAGAGTTCTTTCCTCTGGGGCCAGAGGAAAGAGATAGTAGAACTGACCACCGATGAGTTGCTCGCAGTGGTCTAATGGTGACAGTAAATGACCTTTTCTGAAAATCCCGTGTCTTGGAAAGTCCTTAACGACTTCTGAGACGAGTTTTGGACCGAAAAACTCTAATACTTGACCCGAGCTTGTCATGACACGGATTGGGGAGAGAGATGCATCGAATCCTTTGAACGAACAATTGCCCATGTGTATGTTTGATTGTTTGTATTAGGAACTTAGAATGTGGTGTTCTGTGTATATGTAGGAGACTGAATTGAAGTTTGATGAAGATCAACACGTACTATAAACAAACAAACAAATATTTTTTATTTTAAAATTTTGAATTAATCATATAATTATGGGACAAGACCGTTGGGAAGGCATCAAGTTTAGGTGATCCTAGACAGAATAAAATGATTAAAAACGACACTATCACGTTCAACGAAACTATTGTAGGTAAAATGGTAATTAAATTAAATACTCATAATGACGCCACCCATATGGGCAATTGTTAACTGTACATGTTTTTATGGGTAACTTTCATGTGACATGAATGTATTTTTAATAACTTTTGTATTTTTAAAATGATACAAGTTTAAAAGAGAATACAAGTAGTTTATTTCTATTTTTAAGTAACAAACCTTTTTTCAAAATAAATTTATAACATAAGCTTTTAAATATTCATGGAGCATTTATAGTTAATAGACAAATTTTGGAAGCAAATTTCAAATTTTAGTCACAAAAAATCGATTTTCTAGCTATAGACATGCATTCCGCAGAAGTGAGCTTCACGGGCTCCGCAGAATGAGTATAAGCTCCGAGGAATGACAAAACAATAATTATATGAGGGGTATTTGCATAAATTTGTAGATTCCAGAGAGGACTTAACGAGGTCCGCGGAGGCACCATTGAGGAACCGTTGTTAGTAAAGCCTCGTCACTTCCGAATTAAGGCTTTCATTTCTCGTTTCTTCCTCGTCGAACCTCCGCAACAGTTTTTTCTTCCTCGTCGAACCTCCGTGCATCACCATTTCTCCGGTGGATCTATGTTTGTGAATCGCCAACGAAGGGAGATCGATCTAGCAAATGAATTCAACATTTTTGGCGATGGATACGACGATCGGGTATGGATTTCCGACATTCTCTAATCGTTTTTTCAATTTCTTTAGTTTTTAAGTATATTTTTGAATGAAAATGAGATATCTCATCGATTAGTTGGGAAACCCATTGATTAGTTAGCGATTAGTGTCGAAAAAAAAGGAAAATTTGTGTTTTAGGGAAGAACAATTCCGCGAAGCATATTGGTCATTCCGCAGAGGGTGCTCCGCGGAATGATCAATGCTCTGCGGAATTCCCATTTTTTCGTTTTTTTCTCTATACCCTGTTATCCTAATGTACTTTGAATTTATTACATTTTATACACAAAGTAGGATACTCTGATGAAAGTAGGATGCTCTAATAAACAATCATTGAAATTATGTTGCTATTTATTGCCTTTTTTTATTTTTTTTTCTCTACCTTATTATAGCTATGCTCTAATAAACAATCATTGTATTTATTGCACTTTTTTAAACTTTATTTTTTAAAGGTAATTACTAACCTTTATATATATA